CGGCCTGCCAACCAAGCAATCAGTGTGGCCATGTGATTGGGCCAGCTCCCAGCTCAGGCAGGGGAGTAAAGCCCCCACTGTAGGCTTCCCCACAGCTGGGAGCCAGACCAATCACCCAGCCATGCCCCCTGCTCAGCCGGCAAGTCAGCTGAGGAGGGAGTGGGGAAAACGCCCCTCCCCCCAGCCTGGCTTTGTGCCAGGCACAGCCCAGCTCAGGGTCCAGGGGGTGGGAAGCCCTCAGTTGGGGCTGTTTTCCCCCTGCATTCCCTCCTTAGCTGGCCTGGTGATTTGGTGGTCAGGTGATTCAGCCAGCTCCTGGCTCAGGAGTAAAGTCCCCATTGCAGGTTTCTCTGCAGCTGGGAAGGAGGCTGATCACCTGGCCATGCACCCTGCTTGGCTGGCAGGCCAGCTGAGGAGGGAGTTGCAGGGGAAACGGTCCCCACTGGGGGCTTCCCACCCCTGCACTTGGCACAGCCCAGCTCGGGGTCCAGAGCTGGGCGGGGGCCATTCCCCCCTGCCCCACTCCCTCAGCTGGCCAAGGAGGAGGAATGGCCAGGTGATCAGCTCAGCTCCTGGCTCTGGGTAGTGGGGAGAACTGCCCCACTGAGGGTTCCCCCCTCCCACCCTGTCCCAGGGAGACACCAGCTGGGGGTCCAGTGCCAGGTTGAGGGGAGAGTTTCCCCCACACCCCTCCGAACCAGCCCAGACTGAGAAGAGAGGGGCAGAGGTGCCCTACCGAGTGCTTCCCCCCTTCCTCCTGTGTTGGGGAGACCCTGGCTGGGGCCTGGCAGGGAGGGACAGATTTCCCCCCAGGTCCATCCCTCAGCCCGCCCAAACTGAGGAGGGGGCATGGCTAGGGGGACCAGCTTTGGGCACAGGGACAGAGGGAGAAACACCCCCTGGGGGCTTCCCTCCTCCCCCCTCCCCAGTGCTAGGGAGACCCTGGTTGGAGGTCTGGTGGGGAAGCATTCCCCCCACATCCCCTCCTTTGCTGACTGGAAGCTAAGGATGAGGTTTGACTGGGGAAATCACTCATTTCCCCACTGACTGCCAGGCTGGGGGGTGAGTTCTAGTGCTTCCTGGTATGGGCCACTGCAGGGATCTGGCTCTCTTTCACTTTTGAAAAGTGAACATGAAGTCTCTTTTCTTATCAGTTCAATCTAAGCAGTTTACAGAAACTTGCAAAGATTGAATCAATTCAGCCTTGGGCTTTCTGAGTGTCTGTGCCTAGCCAAGAGGTCTAAAAATCTAGGATTGGGCTCTGCAAAGATTACACTTGTGTGTTATCTACATATCCCCTTTGCAAAAAATACTAGCTCTAGTAAAACACATTACTTTCTAAAATACAACATTATTAATTTCAATAACCATCGTTTCCACAACAAAGCCTGAAAGGGCTATTAACCATATTATGATGCTGTATTTTCACTTTGACTATTTAATCATATATTCATTTTGTGCTCTGATGTTATTAATGATTTTATCCCCAAAACAATTGGTTTCTAAATAAATGCAGTTATAAGTTACATAAAGAGTACTTAGAAATTAGATGTTTTGGAGAAGATATTAAAATCGATAACATTTAGCAAGTTTGGAATACCCCGAAGTGCCAAGTACGCATATCAAGTGCAATACAATAGCTTCACAACCTTATGCCTAGTCCTTTCAAATCAAAGATCTCACACAGCTTAGCATAACTAGAAAGTTAGAGACCACTTTTGAAAATAATGGGATACAAAACCCAATTATAAAGGGACCAAGCTGTGCAAATCTTTTTATTCTCTGCCATGTATTTCAGTCTTGCATAAGGGGTGCAAATCTAAGGGTCACTGTGGCAATCTTGTTTGAAAGTAAAATACTAGACAGGGATTTGCAGAAGTCCTAATAACGTTTTTATCAGACTAATAACATTTTTATCAGAAAGTAGTAGTAAAGCCAATTATTTTCTCTTTTTTCAATAGTTACATAACCATTCTAAATTCAGATGATAGGTTTTTCAAAACAAAATGCTTTGGAAATTTGAAAAATAAAAACGTAAAAAAATTAAAGAGCCAGAACATACAAACACTTCTCAAGCATGGAGAAATACATAAGGAACAGGACTGGCTTCAATGACCCAGGAGATCTCTTCCAGCCCTCTTCTAGTATAAGCAACCACAACACAAACTTACCATGTTCCATCTTGAAATCACTTCAGTTTTTTGTCCCTCCCCCACTACTACTGGAAACCTCTTCCAAATCTCATTCCTCTGATAGCTCTTTCAAACATCCAGTGTAATATTCTTAATATTGTGTTTACCTACTGTTATTACACTTACACTGTCCTTCAACAGAGCAGGCCTAACCATTCTCAACCATTTTTTTGCCAAGCTGAACAAGTCAAGATCTTGTAGTCTCATTTCACAAGGTAGGTTTCTCAATTCCCTTAACACTGCAGAGCCCCTTCTGTACCCCTGACTTGCATCTGAATTTGTCTTTCTTGAACATGGGTGAAAGGAACTGTAACCAAAATCCTAGCAGAACCTTTTACTATGACATAATACTTACTTTACTTAAGAACATAACACTTAGACTTGAAAAAAATTCACCAACTGTGATTGCAGAATCACAGATGCCTTCTTAAAGTCTGTACCACATTGATAGCTCATTGTTAGGTGTATGAATTGATTAAAGACTACTTTCTCCTCCATCCCAGCTTGTAAAAGCTGAGCCCCCAAGTTTAATAAGAATTCTGCTATAATTTCCAGGTGTACAACCTTGTTGTGTGTGAATTTGTTAGTCCGGTCCTCAAGGTTGTCCAATACTCCCTTTAGGACACTCTCATCCTCTACCATGCCTGCTATACCTCTCAACTCAGCATTATCTGGAATTTTCATCAGCCCACCCTTTCTCCTGGCAAGGCCAAAAATGACACTATTAAATAAGATCAAATCTCAAAAATTGTGGAATTCTACTAATAACCTCTATTCAGCCCCACAGTACTCATTTTGGTCATCTCTCCCTTAGCCAGCTCCTCATCCATCCTACAATTCTCGTATTAATCATGATCCTCACTAGTATCTTTGCATGTGGCACCATATCAAGTGCTCCTCAGAAATCTAAACAGAGAAAACTGACCACATCTTCCTTGCCTAGCTAATTTGTTATCTTATCCAAGAAAGATATCAAGTCACTTTGAAACAATCTATCTTTTCTAAACTCATGTTGCATTTTATCAAATTTTACATTTACTTCTACATCTTTAATATCTTTCATTCTAAATCTGTTCCAAAATCTTGTACACTACTGAAGTCAGATTAACCAGGCATGCAGTTGCCTTAAAACTACTTCTACCACCTTCTTTTCTTGCATATAGGTACATATAGGTTTGTACATACATTATTCCATCTGACTTGATAGCCATTAAAAATCCTTGCTGCCAAATTTAAGATTTCATTTTCCAGTTCTTTGATAATTTTTGGATGGTATTTTTTGGTCTGCCCAATATGAAAAAATTGAGAGCACAGTTTTGCTTCCACCTGAGATGTGGAAATTTCCTTTTCCATATTCTCAGTCCCCTCCAAACCATACTGTCTTTGTTCCCAGGTTCAATGTTATCCTTACTAAAAATGATTACAAAGTACTGGTTTGGGTTTCAGGCTATAGGTGGAATACTTTTTATTTCATTCCCATTCTCAGCATAATGGCTGCACTTCTTTCCTCTTCTTTGTTTATAAAGATAAAGACGCTTTTGCTAATTCTTTTAATTTTCTTTGCAAGGTCCAACCTTGTTCAACTTTGATTATCAAAGAAAGACGTAGCTCTCTTTGATAAATCAGTCCCTTCCCCCTCCTGCTTTCCTTATAGGCTCCCTGCTTATTCTTGATACTCTTCTTGATGTGATTATTCACCCATTTAGGTCCGGAGCATTTCCCTCCAAATAATTCCCCCTCACCTGTGGTATTGTCTGACTTAAAGAAATTCTAAGCCTCTTCCACATTCAAGACTTTGAGCCCAGCCTTTTTGCTAATGATTTCCTTTACTTTTTCCAGACCTTGCCCATTACAAATTGAAACAGAAGAAAAAAGAAAAATTAAAACCCCTTACTTGAAAATCTATGTTCTCACATAGCCTATTCAACTCCCTCTCTGCAGCAGTGTGTGGATGAGACTGGTGATCACTCTTTCGCCCACTCACCTCTTCCACATAGTATGCTCTCTCTCTCTCTCTCTCTCTCTCTCTCTCTCAACCTTTTGCCTCCATTCTAGTCCTTCCTCTACTAAGAAAAGAAAGAACTTGGGCAAATCCCCACCCCCCGTTTTTTTTCTAAATAGTCATTTCTTTTGTTACAGGTTTCCAAACTTTTCTTCCAAATTTCAGCCATTGGAAATATTAGCATAACTCAGCTCTGTACCTGTAAAAGAAAACTGACCTACCTTGGTGGTGATGCTGGTGGGGTATAAAATGCAAGTGCTGAAGGAAAAGGTTGTTTTTTCAATGCTTGTATAAGATTGGGTTTATATTCTGGATCAACACACCATAATGAACCTTTTCCATTCACCTGCGAAAAAGCAGAATAGTGGAAATTAGAAGATTTGTGAGAAATTAACAAAACTATAGAGGGAGTGACCATTATAGTGCTTGCTAATGTATTATTACATAATGCCCTCTCTTATGCATCACAGCTTTAACTCTCTGAACTGAAATGGCACTTCCATTTTAAAGCCTCATTTTCATGCACTTGAATTTATCTGCTGGAACCTGTATGCTCTCATTTGAGCCTCTGCTAAATATATGTTTGTAAGCCTGAGGAAAATCTGTCCAGCCATTTTTGAGGGACAATTATTTCCCCATTTCTACAAATAGGGTCCCAACAGGAGGATGGCGCCCTCTCTCTCCTGGACTTCGGAGACGCTGGTAGGTAGGTCATAGGCTGATTAAGGAGCTGTGAAGGGATGTAGGATCAGCCTAAGGCTTATGGTCAAACAGTCCAGAGCACCCTGTTCTGATCTTGGCTGGAGCTAGATATAATAGGAAAGGAAAGCAGGTGGTGAAGGGAGAAAGCACATGTGGATATGAGGCCAGAAACCATCTTGGTTATGACAGGTGGCAGATCATGGCAATGTCTAGGGGTCTAGATGCTTTGTTTTCTGAATACAATTCAACTGCTTGAACTCAAAGCCCTGAAGTAAAGTTCTTATGAATTTAGTCAGTTGCTCCTTCTTTTGCCCTGATGCACAAGGAGAAGGAAATCTTATTGCTGCTTAAAAGTAATAAGAACTGGAGTCTCTACTGGCTAGAACTGGTTTGGAGGCCTTCCTAAAAAAGTTTCCCCCCCCCCCATCAGTTTCATGTCGATTCTCATTCACATCCTTTTTCCTTTTTGTAGAGAGGGGTACAGCTATTGGAAGACCTGTTGGCAAAGATGAGCATCTAAAAAAGGGCTAGAATTTAAAAATGTTTGTAAAACATTTCTCATTTTAGCCAAAAACTTTTCACACACTACCAAAGGCATATGTCATTACTGAGGACTAAACACCCAGCCAAAAAACAATCATTTTGAGTAATTACATAAGGAAGCCTAATTTTTAAATAAATAGATAAATAAAAGTGAATTAACAACTTCATAACTAAACCTTTTCAAATGTTGTCCTAACCCTTAAAACAAAACCACTTTTGGCCTGAAACTAGATGGGAGTTCAGCATCTAAGAAACATACATAGATTCAAGGGCTGATCTACAGTTTGTGTACAGCTATATCAGTTTAGAAATCATTAAAAACAATAGAGTTCTCAAATGTGTACATGGTATAGAGATTTTGAATTACTTTATTCCCACCCGTGTGTAGACAAGCACTTAAAAATGAAAGCAGTGAGGGTTAAATTAGTATGGCTCGGCAGCTTCTGGAGTTGCTGTTACAACCCAAGGGTTTTACAAGAGATTCAGAATTCCAGAAAGAGGAAATACAAATACTTCAGAGTTGATGTCCAAGCCCTTTTTATTTCAAGAGTGTCTTCTTCACTGATTTTTCTGTTCTCCAGCTTGAGCAATATTCAAATGACTTTTTGTCTCTAAACATTCACCATCTCGAGATTTTGGGTGGACTGGCAGCATATTATAGTCAGTCAGAAATGTAAGCTGCTGGTCAGTTTTCTTCCTGATTTAAACAAGGTGACTGAAATCAACTGGGAGGAAGGTGGATAGTTGTTCTGAGTTATCTTAACTCCACTGAATCCCTTCACTTAACACCAATGCAAAGACAATTTACACTTTAGCAGATAAAACTAGACCAAACCAGGGCTTGTCTACATTATGGACTCTTCGCTGCTAAAACAGAAACTCATATTGGGGACACACCATATACTGTCAGAAAAAAAAAATTCTTCTGTGTTAACTATACCACCTCCTCAAACACCACAAGCCCTAACAGTTTTCTACCAGTCTGTGTGGTGTAGCCCCATCCATACCAGGAACATCGCAGACATACATATATACCCACAGATAAGGCAAGCATGATGGAAAAGCTTCATGGTGTAGAATAGACCGTGGCCAATTAAAAACTGGATAAAATATTCAAACTGTGCCTTACGCATTTAAGCATTAATTCACCTGAGATAAACTGGCTCCAATACTTAACTTTTCCCTATTAGAGTGTTTTTCTATTACGCCAGTGACTTCCTGGCACTTCAGCCATATATTACTCTGTAAAATTATCATATGTTATATCCAGGTGATAAGCAGATTAACTACAGTGCTGCTTGGCAGCACATGCAGATCTAATGCTAGCATCACCATTTTACTGCTCATTCCAAATTATTAAAAACTGACGCATAGAAAGCTAAGCAGGATAAAGTATGCCCTGCTCCTCCCAAAGGCTTCTGTGCCTACTCACTGCTACCAGGGGAAAACTCATTTTCAGGCCAGTTGCTGCTTGTAATACAGGAGAGAAATCAGATAGGAAGCATTAAAGCAACATTATGGCCACTGACCCAGTACATCAGCTCACAGCAGTACATCAGCTCACAGCTATATGGGTAGCACAGCCAAGTTTTCCAGCTGAGAAATCTGGCAGCATCTTACAAAGGCCACAAATGCATACGGCAGAAGGAGAGAACAACAACAAAAAGATGATATATAAACATTTCTCAAGTAATCTGTAAAGTGGAGAATAGAAAAGTCACAGAATATTAGAGAGCCATGTTCATGTATGGGGTGTGAAATACTTGCACTAGATAAGCCTCTAAAGAATACTAAAATAATCTTCTCAATATTCGCAGAAAGTTTCAGAATAAGGTCAAAACTTCAGCAGAGAGAGAAACTTAGCTGGCGTAAATTGTTTTAGACTTGTTAACTTCACTGGGACCGTAAGAATTTACACAAGCTGAGACCTCACTTTTACAACATTTAAGAATTTAATATTCAAGTAATATTCAATTTTGCCAAGGCTTAAGAAAGCACTGCTGCAGAATCCAGAAAAGCAGCAAAAAAATCACCAGGAATTATCCATGAGATTAAATATTGTGTTATAAAGCAATTATTAAAAGCATCCACTAAGAATTCAGAAGATTCAAAATTCAGAAACAGATGCGTGTTACTCTTGAGTTACTTCAGAGTCTTATTACAAGATAAGTGCTCTCTTTCTGCAGAATTCCTTTTCCTTGTAGTTTTATTTATTCTGAAACTGAGCTGATTTTGAAAGTGATGTTGGTATATGTTGTTTATTTTAAGTAAGTGTAACTAAATAGATCACTAACTATTCACTATTAAATCATCTCCCAGAAGAGATTCAGTCAGTGAAGGGTAGAGCATATATTGTCCCATATTGGCCTGGTTTTGTGCAATCATTGTGTGGCCAGTGAACCTGATCTCTTTCCCAGTTTTCTTCTGGGATTTCATCTCTCTACAAATGTCTTACACTTAGCCTTCTGGTTCATTCCTTTTCAGCCTGTTCCTCCAAGGACCTGGCTCACTCTGGCTATCTTTCTGAATAGTTCTCGTTCCTTTCTGAACAGAGCTCACGGAAGGATCATTATCAACAATTGTTCTATACCATACTCCTATTCTGGAACAGGATGTACTTTTCATATACTAATTATTTTAAAAAATGGTGCAGATGAGTTACTTTACTGCAATGCAAGTGAAGCCACAAAGACTCATCAATGAATAAATACTGCACTCAGAGCTAACACTTAGCAAAAACAACGCAAGGCCCCTGGCAGACATTAAATTAGAGACACGATGGGATCCAATGCATGCGCATGGCAGGAGACAAGATTGTGGGAGTGGGAATCCGATCCCAATTGTGCCGTATTGCCGGTAAAGGGGAAGCCCGAGATCACGATCCCAGGCTCCTCCTGCACTGGCGAGTAGGAAGCCAGTCAGCTGATCCCCTGCTCTCAGCCTTCGGAGCACACCAGGACTCTGACTGGTCAAGGACTCTGATGGGCCTCAGAGACTGGGAACCCCAATCAAGATGATCTGTGCTCCCAGCCTCTGGGGCACAGCGGAATCAGGCACCCTAGAGGCTGAGAACCCCAGGGCAATTAGCTGCTGCTCCCAGAAACTGAAAGTGGCAGCTGAACAGGACTGGCAATTTAAGACATGATGGGAACCAGCCATAAAGTTATTACATATTCTGTGAAATAACTTTGTGGCTTACTCCTTGTTTTAGTGCATCATTAATTGCATTAACATGTGGCTGAGTAACTATGAAAGACAAAATTAAGTACAATATAGTATGGGTACATCTCAACAGTAGGCTGAAGTACAGTGCAGTATAATACAGTGAAGTACAGGGCACAAGCTAGAGTTAGAGGACTAGGCTTAAGTATCAGAAGCAGTGAAGCCATGGCAGCCAGAACACTTTGAACTAATTTAGTTAAGAAATATCCTAAATAGCCTTAACCTTAATTAGGATTTGAAGGTCACACTCCATCATGGTATTAGTGGGTGGGTGAGGGGGGTGACTTACTACCTTCACTGCTGCTACCAATATGCTATCTGAAATGCAGTTACAGGGTTTAATTTCACACATACCAAAACAAAAAGCCTTGTATTGTTGACAAGGTTCCTTGGGTGAATTTGATATCTTTTATTAGACCAATCCAAATAGTTGGAGAATAGTTATTAAGCAAGCTTTTGGGTTCAAAAACCCTTCGTCAGGCTAAGGAAGTTTCAGCAGTTGGTATGTGCTCTTCCTGGATGGAATGAATGGTATTGTTGATTCATTTTAAGTTCTGGGGTCAATAAGTTTGATAAAAAAGAAAGAGCAACAGAGCAATATTTTGAAGTGTATTGCAATGTCTGTAACTTGACTTGGTGTAACTTTACCCAGCAGCATAAAGCAAACTAAATGGAAACTTTCAAAATTACAAATGTTTGCATTATTTTATGACAAGTCTCCAAGGCCAGTTAACAAATCTCCGTGTAATATTGACTTCTATGGGCACACTGGTAGCAAACGGGGCAAAACCACAACACATGGCACCACGTTCTAACTGAAAACAATTCACCAACTCACTGTTATTTCTCAGTATCACACCTTTCATCAAGAAGTCTCTT